CACTTTTTAAAGTCTTTATTGAATTTGTTACAACATTGCTTTTTTTTTTTATGTTTTGGTTTTAAGCCGCCCGGCATGTGGGATCTTAGGTCCCTGACTAAGGATCAAACCCCTGCCCTCTGCAGGAGGCTGAGTCTTAACCACTGGACTGTTAGGGAAGTCCCTCCCCCCGTGCAATTTTATGGGTGAGTCTGGCTCCATCCAGAAAGACAAGGTGGGCATGGCTCCAGAGAATGCATGAAACTGGACACACGTCCAGCCCTGGGGCGGCTGCCCCAAGCAGCGCTGAGCTATGGCTGTGCCGGGACCTGGCGTGGAACTGGGCCCCCAGGTGTAGGTAGGATGGTCACGGCCATGCACGGCCACCTTGATTGCCAGGGCTGACCCCTCCTCCTACCTCCCCTCCCGTTTCCTGATATCTTCTGGGGCAAAGAGGACGCTGTCTTGATCGGGGTGTGTGAGTAGCTAGCCCCTTCATCGGCAGTTTCGCCACTAAAAGACCTCATTAAGCAAAGCATCTGAGAGTGATCAAATGGAATTTATTAGCTTGGGGGAGTTCCAGTGTGGTCTGCATTAGACCATGACCGGAGAAGTTCACTCCAATGACAAGCCGAGTGCTGGTAATTCCTTCTGAAAAAGTGACTTTTAGGCGGCAGCCCTGGTGCTCTTTCCAAAGAGCTGTTACATGATACTGTGTGAACTGCAGGAATTTTCCAAGTGAATGCATGAAAGCAGCGCTGCTTGGTGGGCCGGGATTCCTTGGACAGAGACATGAAAGAAAATGTGCCCTGAAAATAAAGCCCAGAAAGAGAACCTCAGTTTCCAACTGGAGGTCCCCCAAAGCATGGCTCAGGAGCTGTGCTGATTCTCCAAGGTCTCTCCCGGGAAGGCAGTGAGGAGGGAGCTGAGCTTCCTCTCGGGCTTGCATCCGCGTCCCTGCTTCTCCCCCGTCCCAGGCTGTGCTGATCCCTGCAGATTTACTGGTGGTTTCCAGCCCAGTCTTCCGCCCTGGTCAGGCTCACACACAAGGTGAGGCTGGAAAAACAGAGAAGAGACGGGGTGTCTCCCTTGTGCAGCCTGAGCCCCTGCAAGGCCTCGAGGATCCTGGGTGAACAGACGGACCCTGCAGGGCGGCGATGGAGACTCCCGACCACGTGTCACCTGATGAGAGCTGGCGGGGGTCACACCAAAGCCCGTGCTGCCTTTCCCCAAGGCTGCAGAGAGGCAGCAGGTCATGGCACCCAGCGCCGGCCACTGGCTGATGACCATGGCCAGGGGATGGCTGAGCAGTGTCTTGAAGGAAACAGTGTCCCCCCCCCCACCACGCGTTGTTTGTGAAAGCTAACGGCGATAATCCAACCCCTGTCCATGCGCTGCTTCAGTAAACACTGGGCAATCAAACAATAGAATAGATTTAGTGAGTTTAGTGAAGTCGCTCAGTCGTGTCCAACTCTTTGCGACCCCATGGACAGTAGCCTGCACCAGGCTCCTCCATCCATGGGATTTTCTAGGCACGAGTACTGGAGTGGGTTGCCATTTCCCCATTTCAAATAATGAAGATGCTCTACATGTACTGCAATGAAACAGCTTCCAGCACATAAGGTGAGGCAGTGGGGTTAGCATGCTCTCCTTTCTATGAAATAGATTATACACATGTGTGTACAGACACAGATTGCACACATGTACAGACAGTGATTGCACACACTGCACATGCATGTATGTTGATTGCACATACACGTACAGACACATTGTACACATGTGTACAGACACTGGTTGCACACACTGCACATGTGTGTAAGACACTGGTTGCACATGTGTCTACATTGATTGCACATACATGTACAGACACATTGCACACGTGTGTACACACACTGGTTGCACACCCATGTACATTGATTGCACATGCATGTGTAGACATTGCACACACGTGTACAGACACTGGTTGCACATGTGTGTATGTTGATTGCACATGCAGGTACAGACATATTACACACATGTACAGACACTGGTTGCACACACATGTACAATGATTGCACATGCATGTGTAGACACATTGCACACACATGTACAGACACTGATTGCACATGTGTGTATATTTCACATGCGTGTACAGACATATTACACACACGTGTAGAGACACTGGTTGCAGACACTGCACATGTGTGTAAGACACTGGTAGCACATGTGTGTACATTGATTGCACGTGCATGTACAGACACACTGCACACATGTACACACACTGGTTGCACACCCATGTACATTGAATGCATGTGCATGTATAGACACATTGCACACACGTGTACAGACACTGGTTGCACATGTGAGTATGTTGATTGCACGTGCATGTATAGACACATTGCACACATGTGTACAGACACTGGTTGCACACGCATGTACATTGATTGCACATGCATGTGTAGACACATTGCACACACGTGTACAGACACTGGTTGCACATGTGAGTATGTTGATTGCACATGCATGTACAGACACACCGCACACGTGTACACACACTGGTTGCACACCCATGTACATTGAATGCATGTGCATGTATAGACACATTGCACACACGTGTACAGACACTGGTTGCACATGTGAGTATGTTGATTGCACATGCATGTACAGACACACTGCACACATGTGTACAGACACTGGTTGCACATGCATGTACATTGATTGCATATGCATATACAGACATATTACACACATGTGTACAGACACTGGTTGCACATGTGTGTACCTCAATTGCACGTGCATGTACAGACACTGCACACATGTATACACACACTGTTTGCACACCCATGTACATTGATTGCACGTGCATGTGTAGACACATTGCACACACGTGTACAGACACTGGTTGCACACACGTGTACAGACACGGGATGTAGATGAACGTAACTTTGCACATGACACTTGTGGTGTCACAAAGCTGGCACCAGCACTCACTTGTCTCTGGATGGAAGAGCAGGAGCCGGGGGAGGCCTGAGGCTCCTGTTACACACTTGGAGAAGGTCACAAACGTGAGCGTGAAGTAGAATGATTAAAAATCGCTCCATCTTCCTTTTGGCCATGTTTACTAACCACCCACGGCTCGCCCTGCGTGAGGTGCTGGGGTGAGACGGAGAGTGAGACGCACCAGGGTCACAGTGAGAGTCAGGCCTGGAGGCGAGGTGGGGACGTGGGTGGTGGGGCTTCCCCGCGCAGCCAGGAGCCCGACGTGGGCCAGCCCGGGGGTCCCGGGACGCTGCTCCCCGAGGGGCTGTGGGCTCCAGGGGCTGTTGGGAAGCCCTGGGCTGGCGGGGGGCTGTGTCTGCAGGGTCCCAGCACCTGCTGGGTCCACACTGCTGTCTGCAGGTACAAGCATCAGCACCACTTTGCCTTCAGGGAACTCAGCCTCTGGCCTCAGTTAGATGGTGTTTCTCAGAGCGGGGTAGGGGGAGCTCTGTCTGCTCGTGTCTGCCTGGGACAGTCAGGGTGGACAGTCAGGTGGACGGGCAGTGTGGACGGGCAGGGTGGGCAGTGAAGGATGGACGCTGCAGGAGGCTGGGGCGTGGGTCCTCTGGGCTAATAGAACTTTCTGGTTAAGAGCAGGGCTTTCATTGTGTGCACTGCCAGTCCGTTTGCAAAGCGCCTTAGCTGGAATGATTCCGACTCGCTCTGCTGCCTCAGAGGCGCCTCAGCGCTCAGGGTCACCCTAGAAGCCCATCGTGGTTTCACGGGAGAACAGAAGATTAAGTACTGAAACATTTGCTGGGAAGTGGGGTCTCTGGCCTCCGAATTCCCCCTGTGCCTGGGGGCTGGCCCTTCGCCAGAGGACAGCCCTGCGCTTGGACGGCAGATTCCTTGTGAGAGGTACCAGGCAGCAAGGCCAGGGGTCTGCAAGCGGAGGAGACAGGCTGCAAGCATCAGACTCTTCATCTCACTCTTAAACAGCAGGAGGAAACAAACTACAAGTGTCAGATTTTTCCCCTTCTCTATTCAAATTTAAAAAGAGGTTTCTCTTAAAGTTCTGTGTCGCCATGATGACACCCAGTTCCACCTGAATTTAACTTTTCTCAAACCTTGAGCTAACCAACGCGTTTTTCTTAAGGAAATGTTGACTTCAGCTTTGTTAAAGAACTATGTATTTACCCTAGACTGTGTCTTTCTTCATGTCTGTTCTGCTTAAGACTCAGAACCGATAAGGGCTCAGCAAAGCTGTATATTTTACGCATACATTGTTCTCGTAATCTATGTTAATGAAACTATGTATTTACTTGGAAACCTGCCTTTCTTCAGGATTCCTGTCAATCGTTTGACGGCCTGGGATGACTCACCTGGTCATGTATGTTGTGGGTGAGGGGCCTGGTGCTGCTCTCTGAGCTCTGGGACATCTTTCTCTCATTAACCGCCTGCTGATAGGAAGATAACCTGCCGCTAAAGGTTAGCAGGGGGCGCTCTTCCTGCCCCCTCTGATGTCTGTGTCAGAAGCGTTCTCGATCTCTTTTATACTTAAATAAAACTCGATCACACAAAAGCTCTGAGTGATCAAGCCTTGTCACCGAACTGAATTATTCTCCTCCGGAGGCCAAGAACCCCGGCGTCTTTCCTGGTTCAGCAGCAACCTTTCAGTTGCCTGAAGTCTGAGCCCCGGGTGCCTGAGCGATGAACAGCGCGGGACAGCGCCAGCGCCTCGATTTCAGCAGCAGGGAGTCTCGGGTTCCCGAGCTTGGCCTTCATGGCAGGGCGTGGTGTGCGAGGTCTGCTCTGAAAGGACGGGGTGCAGGCCTCCGGCAGACGCTGACCGCCAGGCTCGTGGGTGGCTCCAGCGCCCCGCCGGCCACCTCGGGGTGGGGCTGTCTGCTCCCCAGGAAGCTCTCCACTCCTCTCACCCCACGCTTTGAATCCACAGGAAGGAGCACTCCCCCGCGGGCCTCACCGGCCTCAGTTGATTAGTGAGCTAGGATTAGGGAGGCACAGCTGCCCAGCCTCCGCGTCGCGCCTGTCTCTCCCCGTAGCCGGCCGCCCGCACCTGTGAGTCGGTGAGTGCGTTCGGGCCTCATGGCACTTTCACTCACACCCTCAACAGCCCTTTGAAGCGGGCGTTTCCTCCTCGAGAATTCGGGGAGGTGGGCCGCCTGCCCGCCTTCCCACGTAGACGTTTAAGGGTGCCTCGGCCCCCACACGCGGAGATGCGCAGAAAAGACTGCATCACCTCCCAGCACGCAGCGTCGCGGCCCTCCCCGCGGCCGGCGGTGACACCGGGGTGATGCCGGCTACCCCGGCCCGGCGCTGGGAAGGAGCAGAGGCTGGCTGCTGGCATCCTTGCCGCGGAGGGCCAGCGCAGGGCCCCCCTGCCCTGGGGACGTGAGAGCCGCCAGCTTCTGCCTGGAGCCCGTCCTGGACGGACTGTGGGAGCAGGGACGGGGCGTCATTTCCCTCGGGTTCGGGGTCCTGCCTCGGCACTGTCCGTGAACGGCGCTTCCTGTTTATCGAACAGGCACCCCGGCTCTAACGCAGGCTGTGCAGGGGTGACGGGCCGTGGTCCTCGGCGCCCCCTGCTGTCCGGCCGGCCGGCCGTCTGCGCGTCCCCCTGTCCACCCACGCGGTGCTCCCAGCTCAGCCCTGCGCTGTCCTCCTCTCTGGAGGAAAAGCAAGCTGCCCCAAGCTTGCTTTTCTTCCATGTGGCCTCGACTACGCTGGGTCCTTCATTTTTTCCATAATAAATTGGAGAATTTTCCATAAGGAAAGAAAGACCTCTGTGATTTAAATAAAATTCTACTGAATCTACCAGACTGTTTTTACCTTTTTATTGCTATTTTCTAGAGTAACATTTTTACTCAAAACAAAGATTCAAGGTTCATGTAGAAAACTGGAAAACCTATTAAAACAAAAACACAATAAAAGAAAAATCTCTAGGGAATTTTCTGGCAGTCCAGTGGTTAGGAGTCTACGCTCTCATAGAGCTGAGGGTTGGGATTCAATCCCTGGTCAGGGAACTAAAATTCCATAAGCCGCCAAGCACAGCAAAAAAAAAAAAAAAAAAAAAAAAAAACCCAGAAAAAAAGAAAACTAAAAAGAAAAAAGGAAAAATCACTAAATCAAATCTTACCATTAGAGAGAAGCACTGCTAACATTTTATTTTTTTTTTTACTGCTAACATTTTAAAGGCTATTTAATCATATTTTTATATGCAATCTATTATATACAAAATGCTTATTGAATAAATGTGCACATGTATGGAGCATATATGAATATAATCCATGCATATAATTATAGGGTCTTCCTGGATGGCTCAGTGGTCAAGAAACCACCTGCCAATGTGGGAGACGTGGGTTCGATCCCTGGGTTGGGAAGATCCCCTGGAGAATGAAATGGCAACCCACTCCAGTGTTCTTGCCTGGGAAATCTGCCAAGGACAGAGGAGCCTGGCTGGTACAGTCCATGTGGTCAGAGTTGGACACGACTAAGTGACTAATACTTAACTTACTTTAAAGTAAGACAAAAATAGCTCTTTTGACAAGTATAAAGTGAAAATTCTAAATGTTGAGAGGAGCATGGTTTTTCGTTTAATTGTGAACACTTCCCCTCTTAACTGGATATGGACTGATGGGATGTACCACGTGTCTGCGGATGCCTGTCACGATTCACTGGTTCCGCTTAGTGTGGTCCGCACTAGGGGCCGCTCCTAAGTGGGAGGTGTGGGGGCGTTAGTCCACTTGCTGAGCTGCCTGGTTCACAGTGGGTGCAGGGCCTGGAAACCCCTGTATTCCCCATAATTGGGAATCAGCTGTAGTTTTGTCTTGACTGACATGAGTTATCAGTGGCTCCTGCTACTTATCACGCCCAGATTGAGATGTGACGTTGCATTTTAAGTACCATAGGTATTATGTATTTTTATTTATTTATGCCGAGTCTTAGTTGAGGCATGGGGCGTCTTTTCTTAGTTGCGGCGTGCAGACTCTTCGCTGCTGCAGAGCGGATCTAGCTTTGACCAGCTGGGTGTCAGACCCTGGCCCTCTGCGTGGGGAGCCCCTCGCCTCCGGTTGGGATGGGGGTTCAGTGGGCATCTCCAGGGGGCCGGGCAGATGATGCGGGTGGCACTGCTGCCCCCTGCTGGTGGAGGGGAGCATCGTCGGCCAGCGGAGCAAAGGTCAGCAGTTCCACATTCCAGGGGAGCTTTCCCACGGGCGGCACCGCTAATTTGAGGCGGAATCTGGGATTTTCCTGTAACGTCCAAGTGAATACCACCTGGATACACAGTTCTGAAGCAGTAAGGCGTTGCTACTAGAGTCAAGCTAGTTTCAAGCAGAATTTGTATGTATTTCCTACAGCTCCCCATGTTCTAGATATTTATGGTGAAGCTGTTTTTCCTGGATACCTGACGTTGTAATGATTTCAAATGTATTATTTTGTCCTATTTGGTGTATTCACCTTTATTAGTTTTTTAACTTGCAGATGGCTACCCTTTAAAGGAATCATGTAAGTTTATTTTACTCTGCTGTGGGTTTTGTGCCAATTTTTAGCATTTGTTTTGTCAGTATGATTTTTTAACTTTAATATTTAAAATTATGAAAGTATAGTAACACATTTATAGGAGACTTGGAAAATACAGAATAATGTTACATGTAGTCTACTATATTTTATAATCTTTATAAGTAGATAGATGAAGATTTTTAGTTGGGAGTTTCAATATTAAACTCTCAAAAATTAATAGAATGAATATACAGAGAAGTAGTATATTTTATATACATTTATTCTAATTTGTTTTATGTTGCTGCTTGCTTTTTATTTACAGGTATTTTGTGACATACAGTTCCCATGTTGGCTTTTAATGGTACATGAAGTACTTGTAAATTTACTAGTAACTTTGTTGTTTACTTGTGCCCTATATAACAGTACTTAAAATACAATATATCTCTTTTTGGCTATATGGCTTTCCATTTTTCTTTCTCAGGTTTAAATTACTGTGATTGAAAACATCCCAACTGGATATGGAATTTAGAAAGATGGTAACGATAACCCTATGTGCAAAACAGAAAAAGAGACTCCTATGTATAGAACAGACTTGTGGACTCTGGGAGAAGGCGAGGGTGGGATGTTTCAAGAGAACAGCATCGAAACACGTATATTATCTAGGGTGAAACAGATCACCAGCCCAGGTTGGGTGCATGAGACAAGTGCTCGGGCCTGGTGCACTGGGAAGACCCAGAGGGATTGGGTGGAGAGGGAGGTGGGAGGGGGGACCGGGAAGGGGAATACATGTAAATCCATGGCTAATTCATTTCAATGTATGACAAAAACCACTACAATGATGTAAAGTAATTAGCCTCCAACTAATAAAAATAAATGGAAAAAATAAATAAATAAAAGCAATATCCAAAAAAAAAAAAAAGAAAAGAAAACATCCCAACTGGAATCTAATTTAAAGAATTAAAAAATTTAATTTAAAACATCCCAACTGGATTCTAAATTAAAGAATTAAAGAATTTAATTTAAAACATCCCAACTGGATTCTAATTTTAAAGAATCCCAACTGGATTCTAATGTACAGAATAACTTTATGTATGTGCACTCCTATAATAACACTTCAAACTCTCTTTCAATACATAAGTGATTTTTTAAAAATCTGAAGACTTCGTGCTTCAAAAGAGTCCTTGTTGGGTCGGGAGCCCATATTCTGGATGGGGGCGGGGCTGGGTCATTGGCTGCTGTCCCCGTGGTGGTCCCGACGGGGAGCTGACGGCGTCCCGAGGATGGGAACATAAATGACCTTTGTGGGTCAAGGACTCTGGGGGCGTCCTCTCTCGGTAGTAGGTGACGCCACCATTAAAAGTTTCCTCTGAGACAGCCACTTCCTGCCACTTTCCCCAGGAAAATCTTGGGAAATAGGATTCATTGTCTCCAAGGCCGTAGCTGTAAGCACACACAGGGAGGGAACACAGGCCTGCAGATTGCCTGCACCCCCGAGGACACGCCCCGGCGTCTCTGGAGGGCGAGGCTGCGGACCGGGAGCCTCAGAGTTCCGGCCCCGCTGCGCCGCCCGCCCGGGTGCACGTGCGCCCTTGAAGCCCCCTCCCCGCTGCAGGGGCGGCACGCGGGGACCCTGCCGGCCCCGAACCGGGCTGCCCCTTCCGCCAGCTCGTCTCTGCCTGCGGTTGCGTGGGCTCATGGAAATCAGAGACCGGGGAAAGGCAGTCGGCGGGGACGCAGGGAGACGCTGGCCCAGAGTCCAGCCGCGAAGGACGGGGCTCGACCTCTTCCCTTCCGCGTCCACCCGTGGAGGGAGACCGCCTCCCCAGAGGTCAGTCTCCCGAGTGAACTGTGCCGGCCGGGGGTGGCGTCCAGCTTCTCAGCCCGCTTGTGGAGCCCGCCCAGCGGAGGGTGTGTTTGGGAGATGCTGGCGGCCGGCCCCACGCCCGTCTGCAATGAGGGCTTCAGGATCCAGAGCGATCCGCTGTCCGCGGCCACCGATGGCCTCCTCACGTCACGGTGGGAAGGAGGGTTCAAGTCGCCCATGCTGCGGCTGACACCGTGGTGACTGGTTAAGACATTTAAAGGGGGCGGCCCCCAAGTCCTGCGGCGAGCTGAGCAGGTGGGGGCGGCTGGCCGCAGCAAGTCAGCAGGTGCGTCTCCTCCGTTGAATCTGAGCTGCCCTTTCTTCCAAGGAAGGTCTGGTCAAAGTACATAAACCGCTGGACATGCCCAGAAAAGCCCAGACCTCACACTGCATTCACGTGAACACGGTTCCTCCGTCTGCCATTTTCGGGAATGGGACTGGGTGCAGAAGAGAGTGAGCGCAAGCACTTCTGGGCGCTTCCTGGCCCTGGTGGGAGGTGGGGTCCGGGGGGCTGAGATGCGTCAGGTCCACGACCCCTCCCGCGGGTCCCCAGCCCCGTTCAGGTGCGGCTGGCTTCCGGGAGCCCCCACCCCCTGGCTCTCCCACATCCAGGGTCACAGGCCTGCGGTCACCGCTGGCAGCGGGCTTGGGTTGAACACCGCGGTTTCTCTTAGCAAACACAGACGCCCCCCGGGGCAGCCCATCGAGGCTGAAGACGCACTGGCTCCTCAGCTGCTCTCCGCCCGGCAGACGGGCCTGACGGTGGGCCGCCTGCCCAGAGAAGCCCGTCAGCCGGGCAGTGAGGGGCTCTGGTCCAGGGTCCCCTGCAGACCTCTGCCGCTCCCCTGGGACCGTCCACCGCCCCCCCCCCCCGGAGCCTCCGGGAGGGAGACTCGGCCCAGAGCCCCTCCCCACCTCCTGCCCCGGAAACACTTGCCCGCACCCCCTCTGCGTGAGGGCTCCTTGGACCCTCCTGCTCTGCAAGGGGGAGCTGGCCTCAGGGAGAGGAACTGCAGCCCCTTCCCACCAAGGCCCGGGGGCCTGGGGAGAAGTCACCCCGCACATGAAGAGGGCGTCTTTGCAGCGTCCTGCCCCCCGGCCGCCCCCACCCCAGCCATACTCGGGGGAGTCAGTGCTGGATAAATATGTGAAGATGGAGCCAAGTCTGGGGAAAGACGGGGTCACATGCAGGCCCCAGGGTCCCTCCTCACTGCAGAGCTCGCCCCCTCTCAGCACCCTGAAAGCTCCCCAGCGGATGCCTCTCCCCTGCCAGGACTTCAGTGCCCCCAGACCTTTGGGTTTCCGGCTGGCAATTTCCTGAAGGGAAGTTTGCAGGTTGAGAGAGGGATCAGGTTTGATAGTTTACAACTTACTTTGTAAACATATTTACCTTTCAAGCCAGCTCACCGATCCAACATGTATGTGGATGTGAGTGTTACTTGCTTAGTCGTGTCTGACTCTTCATGACCCCAAGGACTGTAGCCCGCCAGTCTCCTCTGTCCACGGGAATACTGAAGTGGGTTGCCATTTCCTTCTCCAGGGGATCTTCCTGACCCAGGGCTTGAACCCGGGTCTCCTGTATTGCCGGCAGATTCTTTACCGACTGAGCTTCAGGGAGATCAAACATGAATCTCACTCAACACCTCACTGAAAATTGAAGCCAGAAGCAAACATGCTCTGTGTGAAGATGAGAGCTGCAGACGCGGTCTCCCTGCAGCTCCCTGCGCGGTCCCTTCTTCCTGAGGTCATCGCCCACGAAGCCTCAGCTGCTGGGGGACCAGAGAGACCAGCCCGGGGGCCCAGCGAGGCTCCTCCCGGCTGCGTGCAGCCTCTGAGCCCCGAGGCTGCTCCGCTGCCCCCACACAAAGGAAGCTGGTCCTCTGGGGCGGAGTCGTGAATGAGCCGGTGCCATGGCCAGAGGCCAGGGTTTGTCTTTTTGGCTGAATTGCCGGTTGCCCAGGTGCTGGGCCCATTGAAGGCTCTGGAGTCTGAAGCGGAGGTTGGGGTGATGCTCCTACCAGCCACGGGCCGGGATGGCTGGGAGCCCCCAGGAACTGCAGGAGGCAGAGAGGACGCTGCCCATTGCGCCTCCAGACCGTGGGGGTCCCTGCTGATGAGGCCGCGCGGTGCGTCCCCCTGCGTCACATCAGCGCTGGGGGCTCCTGACCCACAGTCGAGGGGGGGCGGGCGGCGGGGGCACCTCTGGGTCCCTACGAGAAGACGGGTGCAGGGAGCCAGGCTTCGTCCCTGCGTGACCCGGCGGGGCTGCTCTGTCATCCTCCCTCTAGGGGCAGGGTCGTCATCAGGGACCCTCTGGGGTGACTGCCAGGGCCTCTGGGCTCTGCTGTCCTGAGAATGAAAATGTCAATTGCTCAGTCGTGTCCAACGCTCTGCGACTCCGTGGACTGTAGCCTGCCGGGCTCCCCGGTCCACGGGCTCTCCCAGGTTAGAACCCTGGAGCAGGTGCCTTTCCCTTCTGCAGGGGGCCTTCCCGGCCCAGGGATTGAACCTGGGGCTCTGCATTGCAGGCAGAGTCTTCACCATCCGAGCCACAGGGAAGCCGCTGTTCCCCGAAGCCTCATCTGATTCCGGCCTGTGGTCCTCCGGCTGGAGGCGGGTTCCCGCTCGTGTGCGACCACATGGTGGCCCTGTCGTTTGTCCAACCCCGCGATGCCAGACGGCGTCACTTCTCTCAAAGAGAGGTGAGGCGATCAGGCGTTCACGGCTCGCGGGCTCAGACGGCAGCAAGGCGCTTCAATCCCGGGGCCTGTCAGCGCCTCCGGCCGGGACCAAGGGGCCAGGAGGCTGGCAGGACGGTGCCCCTCAGGCCCTGTGCCCGGGACGACTGCCTCGCCCTCCCATGTGCCCCTGGCCCTCTCCGGGGCAGAGTTCCTCCTCATCCTGCCCTCCCACGACCGCGGGGCCGGCCCGGGAGCGTGCTCTGGACTGGGGCTGGGCCCCCAGAGCCTCCCACGCCGCCCCCTCCTGCTGCGTCCTCCCGCTGCAGGGTCAGGGACAGTGGGGAGGCCTGAAGCGCTGGTTCTGCCGGGACACGAACGCTCCCAGCTGTTTCCTCCTGTCCCCGAAACGCGGGTCTTCCGTTTTGCTTTGGTACAAAGCTCAAGCCAGAAACCTGGTACTTTTCTCTGGCTGGGGTTCCTAGTGGCGCGAGGAGACCCTCCTGTGGGGCTTCACTGTGGACGGGCAGGGCTGGGGGACAGGCCACACAGTCCTGCTGCCCTGCCGTCCCCTCCCATCCCCTGGGCGCACCCGCCACACGGTCAGACGGTCCTCAGAGCGGTCCACAAGGGTCAGAGCTGACGGACACGGTGAGGGCGGTGAGTGCCCCCGTCACATCAAACCCGGTCTAATTAGTGACCTGCACTGCCGTGCGTGTGACCGGGGGTCTAGGCGCCTGGAGTGTAAACCGTCAGGCCCCTCTGCGTCTGAGGCCTGTCTGCCCGGCCGTCTCCGCAGCCGCGTGGGCACTGCGCGTCTCTGGCCCGTCTCTCTCCCTCAGGGTAGCGCTCCATCGCGGGCACGCGCTGACTCTGAGCTTCCGTCTAGGCTGGGCTTTCCTAACGTGTCTTTCCCGGTGGCTTAGTCGGCAAAGACTCCGCCTGCCGTGCGGGAGGCCCAGGTTCCATCCCTGGGTGGGGAAGACCCCCTGGAGGAGGGAAGGGCTCCCCACCCCAGTGTTCTACCCTGGAGAGTCCCATGGACAGAGGGGCCTGGTGGGCTGCAGTCCGCGGGGTCGCAGAGCCGGACACGGCTGAGTGACCCACACCGCCACACTCCCTGATGGTAAGACCTGATCATCAGCCACCCCTTCAGTCTCCGGTGGCGGCGGCCCACCTCCCACCGCCCCCTCCCCTCAGGCAGGCCCTGGCTGCGCCCCTCCCGTCCTGAAGGCCAAAGGCCCCCCGCCCCCTGGCCCCCTGCAGCCGTGCATGCGGTCCTCTCCGCTAAGGCTCCCCGCTCCGTGTGCAGGCAGGTTACGGGGAGCTGCCCCCCGCGCTCACAGCCTTGCGGTCTGCCGTGGCCCCTCTTCCACAGCCCGATCGCACGTGGAGCCCCTGCCCCTCCTCGCCCCAGCTTGAGGCTCGTGTGCCCCCTTCTGATGCAGCTCCAGCCCGGCCGAGCACCCCTCCTTCCTGAAGGCCGCTCCCCGTGTCCAGTCAGCCCGCTCTCCGCGCTCCTCCGGCAGTCTGCTCACGTCTTCTCTGCTCAGGTCCCCGTCCTCCGGCATCCTTCACATGGAGACGTCTCCCTGTCTTCTCTCCCTACACACCTGTCTGGGTGAGGTCACCCTTCCCTCCACCGCCAGCTGAGCGCGTCTCAAGCTCCGCCTTCCTAGGTCTTGCCAAGTCTCAGACCCAAAGCCCCGCGCCTGCACCGGCGGCTGGTACCCTCACGTGCCCGCGTGACGGGTTACCCGGGTCCCCCTGGAAGCGCCCATGGCCCCAAGCCCCACCAGTTGCTCACGGGACCTGGTTTGGAACTCGTCTTCTGAGAGCCAGGCTAGCCTGAGCTCAACAGGCGGGCCGCGGTCCCAGACCTCTGTGTTCTTACAAAAAGCGAGAGTTGGACACGGAGACAGGTGCACACGCCCAGGGAGAACGCCCGTGAGGGTGAGGGCGGGGGCTCACAAGCCGAGGACCGGGGTCTGGAACAGGGCCTCCCCTCCCCACGAGGCACCAGCCCTCGGGCACCTTCCTGTTAGACATCTGGGCTCTAGAATTGGAGACCATCCTTCTGTTGTCTAAGCCTCCAGGTTTGCGGCACTTTGTTACATTATATATAACATACATAACATCTTTCCGGGAGCCACGTGCCCTTGAAGTCTGTTCCAGACGTTAGCCAATTAAATCCTCACCAGCTGGTGAAGCAGAGGCCATTTCCCCATTTCTAAGCTGGGAAGACTGAGGCTGTGGAGGAAGACCCAGGCTGCATGGGTCTCCAGAGCCTGCACTACAGTCTTTCTGCTCCCCCTCTGACCCACCAGACCACCCTGTCCAGGGGATAAAGGAAGAGTCCGTGTAAAAAGGTCAACAGCCAGTGCACCAAACCACACACATCAGGCTAAGACACCAGGGAGAATTTGTAAATCTTGGTTCCAGTGGGAAGCTGTAACACCCCCCTCTCAGAATCTGACCAGTTAAGAAGGAAATAAACAGATATTCAAGATGCAAATAGGAAAAAAAAAAAGATGCAAATAGGAATCAGGGAGTGTGTGTGCGTAAGACACTCTCTTCTTGTGAAAACAGAAATTTCCTAATTTCTTTGATATCAAAGGACTTTTCCATAAATTGCGAAAAGTAGAGTTCTTACAGACCACACTAATCTGGAAATTAATAATAAAAAGCCAAAGCAATTATCTACTTGGAAATTTGAAAAAAAAAACATTTTGAATATAGTTCCCTGTGTATGTAGGACCTTGTTTATCCATCTTATATATGATAGCTTATATCTGCAAACCCCAAACTCCAAATACTTCGCTCCCTTACCTCTCCTCTGCTTTAACAACCATAAGTCTGTTCTCTACGCGTGTGAGTCTGAAAAACACTTTAAAAAGTGATTCCCAGATCAAAAGGCAGATAACTTATAAGTGACTAGTTATATAGAAATCTATGAGGTGAGTACGTGCGTGTGTGCTTAGCCGCTTCAGCTGTGTCCGACTCTTTGCGACCCGATGGACCGTACATAGCCCGCCAGGCTCCTCTGCCCCTGGGATTCTCCAGGCAAGAATGCTGGAGTGGGTTGCCATGCCCTCCTACCAGGGGATCTGCCCAACCCAGGGATCGAACCTGGGTCTCCTTCATTGCAGGCGATTCTTTACCAGCTGAGCCAGCAGGGAAGCCTCAAGGTGAGTATATTGCATCTTAAAACCTTTAAGATGAAGCTAATGTTATAAGCAGAGAAGATTTTGTAGCTTTAGCCATAATTTCACTGTTGAGCAGGAAAGTTTGAAATGAACAAGTTAAGCATTCATTATAAGAAACCAGAAAGAACGAACAAAAGAGACTAAGAAGGATAAAATTAAGAGTGATAAAATTAATGGAGTGTCAAAAATCCCTGAACTAATAAAAATACCTAAAGCTGGTTATTTAAAAATATATATATTAGGAAAGAGAAGTTCCTGGCAAGCCTGGCTTTTAGGAAAACTGAGAGGGAACACACACAATCCAGTCGAGAAATGTGCGCAGAGGCAAGAGATGAAGGGAGCTGTAATCTCTGTCTGGATACCTTTCTGTCAGCGTGGATGAAATTACTGACTCTGTGGAGACTCACCCTCGGGGTGGGTAGCCGGACTACCCTGTGATCCCATGACGAGCGCAGCAAAGACTCTCCATCAGATAAAGGTGAAGAGCTGCCAGAGCCAGCGAGTTTCTCATGTGACTTTACCAGATACCCAGGGAACACTCACAGAGTCCCTGCTTACACAAACTGTTCCGGAACAGAGGAGAACGGGGCACCAATCATTTATCAAACCTTCACAAACAACCTAATAAAGATCCCCGCCACCCCCACCCCGTAGGAACCGTCCTTCCTCCAGACGAGCGCACACACCAAGGGAACGGTGAGCAGGCTGGACCCAGCCGTGACATGCTCAGCACACACGTGGTCCAGAGCACGCAGGCAGCTTTCTCACTGAGCGACCCGCCAACGCCACTCAGCACACCCCACCTTCGAGAACAGTCCTGGGATCTGATCACCGCACGCCCAAAACGTATCTGGTGACCCCTCATATTTCCTAATCACAAGGCGGGTGTCAAGAGAAATACAAGAGAACTTAAAGACTATAAGGAGAGTATCTTCCGGAAAGCAGCAACAAATATCTTAACTGAGGAGACTCTGATGGCGAGAGAAGTCCGTTTATGCAACGTCACCGCAGATGTTTCAATCAAAGCCGCAAAGCAAGAGAGCTGAGGATAAGAATATTGTCAGAGGAAAGTATTAGATCAAGAGAATTCAGCAAGATGACTGGACATGGGGCAAATTTATGCAAAAAAACCCTTTCATATTGACATTATTGTTAGAAAATGAACAGGAAGAAATCCCATTTGTAACGGCAGCCAAAACCAAGAAACATCCAAGAATAAGTATAGCGAGTGTCTACTGACGCAGTCTGTGTGTGGGGGGGTTAGTCGCTCAGTCGAGTCTGACTCCGTAGTTTATATACTCAGGAATCACCAGCATCACCGCAGACCCAGGCTGGAGCGACTCGTGCTGAATGGGATGACAGTAACGTGGAAAGGCCAGTTCTTTTTCAGTTAACACAGAGATGCAATGCAGCTGGTCACTCAGTTCTAATGTACGGCAGGAAAAGTAAGTGCGTAAGAGGATCAAGAACAGAAACGGTGACAAATAGAGAGGAAACAGTGAAAAGGGGCATGAACACCGCCTGATGGCCAGAGAGCAGGACAGAAACCGGGTGCCTTTCCAAGCACTGGAACTTACTCTCGGACAAAGGTCACGTCGCAAACCTGCGTGAAAGGAAGCCACTCCGTCAGTGTTTGTGGCCTGGTGCCTGGATACGTAGGAGAAAACAGACGTTGATGTTGGTCTCATCCCATATGCAAATATAAATTTCAACTGGATTAAGAACAACTGTAAGGAGACCCAACCCGTCCATCCTAAAGGAGATCAGTCCTGGGTGTTCACTGGAAGGACTGATGCTGAAGCTGAGACTCCAATACTTTGGCCACCTCATGAGAAGAGTTGACTCATTGGAAGAGACCCTGATGCTGGGAGGGATTGGGGGCAGGAGGAGAAGGGGACGACAGAGGATGAGCTGGCTGGATGGCGTCACCGACTTGATGGACATGAGTTTGAGTAAACTCCGGGAGTTGGTGGTGGACAGGGAGGCCTGGCGTGCTGCGATTCATGGGGTCACAAAGAGTCGGACACGACTGAGTGACTGAACTGAACTGAAGAACAACAAAGAAAAACAAGATCATAAAAGCACTAAAGGAACACACAGCACAGTATTATTGAAATCCTGTGGCTGGGAAAGCAATTTTTTCTAAGAAGTTAAATTCAGAAACCTTCAAACAGGAGGACAAATTTGGCAAAAACCTTCCATAGTTTAAAGACACCAGAACAAAGTTAAAAAACAAGTGACAGAAGGGTCAAAGATGTGCCATACATAGAAGATTGATACAAAAGCTGATATAAATCAATAAAAACGGCAATCCAGTAGAAACATGCATAGAGCATACAAGTCACAGAAAAAATAATTCAGATGACCGATACGCTTATAAAAGGATTGTAACTGAGATCCCTCTGTATTGAAACTGGCTTCGAACTATGGTCAAGCCCTTGTTTAAATTCAGTTGAAAATGTTTTGTCCCTGAGAAACATACTGAAGCTTTAAGACACGGATTCTGGGGACCCTGAGACAGAGGCAGCTTATGCTCTGGGGCTGCTCCAGCCGCCCCCTGACCGGGGTCCATGACTCCCCATCTTCTCATCTGATCAAGTCTGACAGGCGCTAGAGATGAGTTCCTGTTTTGTCTCTTTAATTTGCATATCTTTATTCATTATGCAGACTGATCGGCTGAGCTGTCCCGTCACTTTGCGGGAGCACTCCTGAATTTGGCAGATATATTCTGTCGCACCCCATAAATAAGTTTCTGAGACGAGTCTGTGTGCTTCACATTCAGAAATTAAAGGCGGGGCAGGAGGGCTTGGGTGATGACTTCCATGTGGCAGCGTATGTAATTCAGGCAAATCTACACTCCACCGAAACTGCGTTTTCAATTCATTTTTACTGCATTTCTAGCTTCTTTGCTATGGGCAGCCTCTCTCAAGGTGAAGCTACTCCCTTTCCAGTTTCAAAACCAGCCTCAGATACTTTATTTTATTTTTTGGTTCCCTGACCAGGAATCGAATCAGATACTTTAAATATCCCCATTCCGGCTTTAAAAATCCCCACCCAGTCAAGGAGCCAATTTACTCAATCTCAAGTAATTTGAATCAGATGGAGAAATTAAAGGCAGACCCGACCGCGGTGAGCATCTGGGATAAATCAGAGATGGCCATTCCCGAAGGCTTTCCGGGGAGCGCTGTTGGTTAATCAGGAGCAAGGCGCCCCGCGGCCCCCCCGGAGGGTCTTGTTCTTGACTCTGTGATGCTAGAAGCAAAATTAAACTTGGCTCCTTTGGGTCCCAGGCGTCCTATGAAATGCTAATTTCTCTGTCATCTCGTTCCCCGTTTCTCTGTGCCAGTTTTCAGCTTTTTCAGAGAGATCTCTCCTGTGACTTGGCTGTATACATTTTTTTCATCAGACAGGTGAGCCCTCGTTATATTCAGGGAGGAAGGAGGGGCTCTCAGCCTCTTTCTAAGACGTCATTACCAGCGTCACTTAATTTTCAACAATAAACAATAACCAGGTACCTGTGGACGGACGCTCTGGGCACAGACTGGCCTTGCTTATCTTCAGGGCCTCCTACAGTTTCCGCCAAATGACCCCCGACACCTCGGTTCCCAACCCTCCCCTCCCCCACGAGCATCGCAGAATTTAACCCCCTCTTCCTTTCCCAGGTTAAGTGGGTCATGTATACCCAGAGCCTGGAGATACTGCATCCGCGGTCTCCTCCTAGGGCCTGTGTGAGCTGCCTGGTCTTCCCTGCTCCCACCTGCACCCTGGACGGGGATGTGTGTGTGTGTGTGCGTGCGTGCACGCTGGGGTGCATGCGCAGTCACACCCGGATCTGCTTTGGTATCTACTGCATTCACAGGGACGCCTCCGGATCGGCTCGGGGCCATGGGTCCAGTCTAGTCTCTCTTCCTGGTCTGAGGGGCATGGGCTTTGCTCACGTGTCCCGGGAGGGCGTCCTCAGGCGGGCGTTAGGTGTCAGGTCCCCACATGGTGGGCTTCCTGAGTGGTTCAGCGCTAAAGCATCTGCCTGCCAATGCAGGAAGCGCGGGCTTGATCCCTGGGTCGGGACGATCCCCTGGACGAGGGCATGGCAACCCACTCCAGGGTTCTTGCCTGGAGAATCCCATGGACGGGGGAGCCTGGCGGGCTACAGTCCGTGGGGTCGCAGAGTCAGACACCACTGAAGCGACTGAGCACACAGGCACTCCAGAGAGGATAAAGCACGTTCACCAAAGTGAGCGCTTCGGTTCACGTCCAGTAGAAACCATTCGGATAAATGAAGTTTGGAGCAACTCCTGTGACAGCCTTTCCTGCCTGACCCCCTGGGGGGTGAGGGGTTCGGCCTCCAGGCTCCCTGACTGTGACCCACTAACGCTGCATCCGCCGCCCCCCTGTGAGCACACCTCTCAGCCCGGTTTCCTGCGGCTCAGGGGGCCCCTCTCTCCCGCGTCCCCTCCCTCTTCCTGCTGCTGCTCTCGGCTGGAGCTTGGGGGGCCAACTGCTGCCCCCCCACCCCAGGAAGGCCCCGAGACATGCTGGGAGGGGTCAGGAAGGCCGCCGTCCGTCAGGGGCCTCCTGGATCCCGGTCAAATGGGAGACTGGCTCACATCACCACCGTGTGTGGCGTCTGCACGTGGGGTCGAGGCAGAGACTCCACCTGGGACTGGGAACGGCTTGTCTGTGAGGTGGGCTGGTGGCTCGGAGGGCCTTTCCTGTTTCTGGAAGGTTGGTGGGGAACACAGGTGAGCAGGGCCTCCTGGGCTTGTCGGCCAGGGCCCGTGAGGGCGCAAATAGCCGGTTGTTTTAAGAGAAGAGAGGCAGGCAGAGAAGGTTCGGGAGGAGTGAGGAGTCAGCTGCACGGGCCCGCAGCACGGCCTGGCCAGGCTCCCCCGGTCCCCCCAGCTGGGCGTGCTCTCATCCCGTGTCCCGCCGCTGGGAGAAGCTGCTGCCTCCAAGGCTGAGGCCCTCTGCCTCGCGAGCTGCGCGTGTCCCTGCAGCCAGCCTCCAGCAGCCAGAGCCGGTGCATCCCCGGAGGGGACCCCTCCCTCCACATCAACCCCGAGAGTCCTGAGCTCTGCCATCCTGAGACCCAGCTGCCCGCGGAAGGCCATGGTGCATGGGGCCATCGCTGGCACGTGGATCAGAGCTTTGTCCTCTTCCGGGACCTCACCCTCATCTCCCACTGCAGCAGCGGCCACGGCTGCGATCCCAGCCCCGGGCGTCGCCGGCTCCGGGCAGATGGTCGGCTTCTGGGGGTGAAAGCTGCCCTGTGCTGTTGGGGCCCTTCACGTCTCCTCCTTTTCCAGAGTTCCAAGCACCGGGAATACAGAATCGTGTCATTGTTGTGAGCTGGAGAGTTAATGTCGTTTGATGTCTGGGCCCATGTTGTTTTGCTGGCAAAATCAGCTCAGGCTATTCTGAGTTACAGGAACTATCAGGAAAGCCCTAAAGCAGGGCATGAGACGATTCTTTTAGCAGGAGGGGGCGGGACCGGCTTGCTGAGGCGTCTGCTGCGATTTTTGTAGCTGTTTCTGAAAACACTGGAGATGAATTCGCTGGTGACAGCGCTGTGGCGGTGGTAAACGGTGAAACAGAAAAACCTAATTTTTTTTCCAGCTTTCCCGCTGCACGGGAGTCTTGACGTTGAGGGAGGTGCTGGGGAGGGGGTGGTAAGTAGAAAGCTTGGGCTTGGGATAACCCAGTCAAGTTGTTCTATTATGATCTCTTATTTTATCCTTAGAACATTTTAATGTCTTTGTCTCAGATCTTCCTAAACAAACAAAAAAACCCACAACAGCAATGAAATGAACGGCGGCTGTCTCCTTCGCCTGCTCCCCCATCGCCCCCAGCCCTCCGGTGTTACTGGGAGGGGGTGGGCGCCCCTCCCGTCCCCGAGGTCCACGCCTCTCCTGCACGTGTGCGTGTATGCACCAGCGGCTCGCAGGGTGGGTCTGCACCTTGTAAACGTGCACACTCGCACCTGCGCTGTACGCGCCATCCTGCACTGCGCCCTGCCGTCCAGGTCACGCCCTTCGGTCCCCCCGACCCCCGGGAAGCCCTGGCTCGTGTCCACGGATGGCCATGCAGGGTCACGTTTCGCGGTCACAGCGGTCCGTGAGTCCAGCTGCCACGGCTGGACGCGTAGGTCGCCTCTGATGGCTCGCTCTTACGATGAACATCCTTGGATGTATCGGGGTCGGACAGTGAAAGAGACGTTCCGGGGGCTTCTAGGGAGACGGCAGCGGGGGCGAGGAGCCTGGGGGCCGCCGTCTCGCGCGCTCCCTTGCCCCGCCGTGAGCTCCCTGCGCGGAGGGCCTCGTTTCTCCCGTCCGCTGCGGCCTTAGCGGAAGTGACGGCCCCTTGGACTCCGCGGCCGGCGCCTCTGCGGCCCGACGGGTCCCTGGAGCACACGCGGAGCGCCTTCTCCGGGCCGGGGTCCCCCCGGACGCTCGGTGCTGGGCGCTCTCACGCCGCCCGGCCCACTTAGTCTCGCCCCCTCCGCAATCCCTCCCTCCCGAGGCTGCCCGGGTCACCCCGGCCCTTCACTGTGCTGGTGGTTGCTGTCTTCTCATCCCCCGCCCCCCGGCCCTTGCCTATGCGCATACCCCACCTTTAAAGGCAAATTCCTAGCCGGCTTATGGTTTTGATATAAGTGCACTTTTTTATTTCATTTTCCAGCTGCTTGCCACTGGTATTTAATAGAAGGGCCGATAAGGCTCTTCAGATCAAACACAGAACCAGTGACAGTTTGGCATGAACCTGATTTTGGTGAGTTAAGCAGAGGAAAATCCGAGCGTATTCCTGGTCAGTGTGAAAATGACGCCCACATTAAAAAAAAAAAGTATTAATGAGAACATTCGTTTTCTTCTTAAAAGTCCTAATTTAAAAATTTCTTCCCCATCTATATTATTCTGAAGCTGATTCCAGGCAAAGTAGAATTCCCGTGTAACAATTCAGTGTCATGGCTTTGAACCACCATGTATCAATCACCCAGGGAAGTGAGGAGGCTGCCCAGGCAGAGCTTCTATGAAGCATTCTCACCCCCAAGAAAAGAGTCGAATTCTGTGCAATTCCAGGACAAACCAGATGTCCTGATCTTGAGCAGATTTTAGCAGATTCAGGTAATGTTTTCCAGTAACTGTCATTAACGGTTCGCCGTGAAGTCTTTGAGATTCTTTAAGACACAGTCCGCAGAGGGAATGAGCGAATGGCATTGTTTCTCCTCTCCTGCAACTCGGCCACCCTGGCGACTTCAGGATCAGCCCCTTAAAGCGGCTTCCGAGGGCACCTGGGCTCGGGCGTGACGACAGGCGCCCGCCCGGGAGAAGGCGGCAGTGGCTCGGCACACGGTGACTTCTGGGGCACTTCCGAACAGTGGCCCAGGGGGCTTTTTCATAACGTACAGAGAGGACTGAACGTTTTAAATGCCACATCAGGTATGCCAGAATGGCTACTGTTGCCCCTTGTGAACTAAGATTTCTGTATTTAAAGGGCTTCCACGTATCAATATGTGCTGGCTCAAAGAAGTTGAGGACGCTATGGCTGCGGCTCTTTGTGAAAAGAAGCCTGCGGGGACAGTGCTGTCAGCTGTCAGCGATCCCTCCCCCCCAGGGACCCAGTGTCTCCCAGGAGCGCGCCAGCGTGCCTGGAAACGGAAAGCAGGGACAGACCGGAGGTGGTAACAGGTTTCCCGCGGGAGAGCTCCATGGGCGATCAGAAGCAGCTCACCAGCAGAACCAAGGCAACAGTTCCTGCCACAGGCCCCACCGCCCCCACACGTGGGCAGGCACACCCAGAAACACAGGAGTGTGAGTTTTTTATTCAGTCTGTAAAGGACAGTTTAAAAACAAAATGTTAGTGACGCTCAGAGAACATTGGTGGTGTTCGTCTGACACATCTCTATCTTCACCAGTTTTTATTACAAAAATCAGAAAAGTAAAAATCCATGACAGCAGTTGCACAGTGTAACCACTAGTTGCCTAAACAAAAGCTAATTTCTATAAAACCATAAACTTAATGCAGCTTTATTAAGAGAGATTCAAAATTCTCTCAGTTAACTGGATACACATAGTGGTATATATCTTAAAGCAGAAAACCCCAAGAAACAAAAGCAAGGAAAAAAGAGAGTGTAGGTCGTAAGAGTCAGTTAAGTATGTTGACCTGATAGTCCCTACAGAGTAACTTCCACTGCACATAGAGGAAACCGTTTTCTGTGGTGAAACCCTCAAGCCCGAGTAGGAACGCGGGCAGAAACGCATCAGCTCGGCAGTCAGGCCCGGGCCGCACGCGCTGTTGGTGAGACCAGGGCAGCGAGCGCCACCACTCGCGGGGGCGCCGCGGCTGTCCTCAGACCACTGCGTGTTCCCAAGGGAGCTCTTCACGCCGCGGCGGGCAGCACACCTTCCAGGAGAAGGCTTTGAAAAAGACCAACGCCCTTTTCTTCATACCGATCACCGCAAGAAATCTGCGTAAGGCTGCACCTTGCATAGGGAGACAGTTGTCTTCCATCAAAAATTCTACAGGGAAGAGGGAAAGCGAGCTCTTCAAAATGATACCCACGTGCCAAGGGGCGGGTTTACAGGCACCTCACTCACTGTCTCCGACTCTTCATCAGATAAAGTGTAATTCGACAGAAGGGAAAACAGCAATGTATGGTCACGCTGTTCGAAAGAGAATATTGAGACTGGCAGCAGAAAACGTGAGTTCCAAGGGCGCGTCCTGAAAGAGGCCCCGGTCCCGCGGAGAGACAGCCGCGCGCGGAGCGGGCCCCGCCGGCCCTCGCGTCAGGACTCGGCCCGCCACACGGAGCGCGCCTTCCGGAGAGCTAAAGTACGCGACGCTCCGTCGGGGCGCTGCGGCGGAGGCCCGCCGCCCTACGAGCCGTGGGACAGGTGCACGGCGCCCAGCACGGCGCTGTGGTAGCCCTGCTCCACCCTGACGGAGCTGGCGTGCTCCAGCACACTGCTGAGCTCGGGGATGCTCTCGGCCGTGTCCCCGAAGCCGTGGTAGTGTCCGTACTGCAGACTCTCCTCCGCCCAGGACGGCCTGCTGGCCACGCAGCTGCTCGGGCTGCCGCTGAGGTGCAGAGAGCCGCACGTCTCCGGGCTGACGCGCGCGCTCCTTTCCGGCTCCTCAGGCCCGGGAGCGCCGGGGGGCGCCTGGCTGCTCCGGAAAGGCGGCCCTGGAACCGGGCCAGTGCCTACTCCGTTAAGTCCTGCCGAGCACTGGCCACTCCTGCTCTCCATCCCACCGGGCTGGGCCGTGGAGGGGAAGTCCAAGTGTCCATTGGCGACACATCCATTTGTCAGTGTATTCGATACGGAGCTACTGTTTTTCATATCTGCATTAAGAAATACACCTGTCACCAAAATTCAGAACCAGAAGGGAGGAGAGACTATAAAACGCTTCCTTGCTGCTATTGTTTTACAGGATTTATTTAGCTTCTTTTCTTTACACAAACCAGTTTCTTTTGCAAGGCAAAAAAACTGTGTGTAAGTGATTTAAAAATGAAATGTAACCAGTTGCATTTGCCCGGTAAGATAGCAAACACTTAGAAATTTCACTAGTGTAGGGGAACCAAATGAAAAAAAACTTCAGCTGACAAATATGCCACGTGAAAAATACCAATAGCATTGAACTGTTCTCAGCTTAAGACTAGGTTTGGAGAGCAGTTTTAAAAATCACGACCCTCGAAAAAGTCCATCAGAAATGAACGTTTAAGTGTTCCCAACAAAGGGTTAAAAAAACAAAACTTGGAGCTTTTTTTTTTTTTTAAGAAAAAAAAAGAAAAGCAAAGCAATTGATGCAGCGTGTGAATTACGGAAGCTCCCAGGATGACGCTGACAGCGCCCGGAGCTCCTCACCGTGCCTCCTCCAAGGCGGGGGAGCCCACAGGAGTGGGAGCAGGGCTGTGGCTCCTGAGCGACACCCGGATCACAGCATTTCTGCAAGATGCCAGAGCAGCACGGGCAGACCGCAGAAGGCCACGAACCCCAAGATCCCATGCGTGCAGTCCCGAGTCACGAGCACGTCCTGAAGTGTCCTCTGGGTTCAGCAATTACAGTGACTATGGTGTCCAAGGATCCACTGTCAAAACCCATAATCTGCATATACAGACATCCGTTAAGAAGGGATGTCTTATGGGAAAAAAAAGTCAGTCACAAAACATTTGGCCACACGGGAACAGGCAATGACAAGGTATTTTTCTGTATAACAAAACTCAAGGATTAATTCACATTCACAGGAATTCACACAACAGTACAGAAACGATCTGAGATTATGACTTGCTTGATGATGTTAAATTTTACCCCAGTGTCCTGCACTATTAAAGCAAGGCGTGACGTTAACTACAGAAGCAGGGACTCTGTCACCTTCAGAGTGAGGACAGACTGCTGTGTGTCCCCTGACCTTATCACAGCCCCCACACCGTTGCCCCGCCCCCTGCATTTGCACTCAGGTTTCTGTGTGTCCCGCAAGTTTTCCTGATAACGGAAAATCATGGCTCATTCCATGAACAAACACATCTAAACGTGTCACTAATTTTCAATTTTCTGGCAGTTTAAGTGATAGTTTAAGAACTTCTATAAATTCTTCAGAAGATTGTGGATTATTTCTTTTCAAATTAAATGATGCTTCTCTATTTAGTTAAACTCAAGGCTGGAGAACAAGTCTTTCAAGAACTAAACATGAGGTAAAATTAAAGATAACACAAGCTATTCCCAGAGAAGTATTTGTTTTTTCAAAAACCAGAAGTTTCCCTGGGTAATAAAACTCACGGGTAGGATGGTGACCTTGATAGTTATTAAGACAACCATGCTACTACTAACAGAGATGGAAGTTGTATTTTCAAAGGACTGGGCCTCAGAAATCCGGGTTAACTAGACTGGTATTGTTTCATTTAATGTTCACTGCGAGTGCACTGTTCTTCTCTGCTGCCCAATTAGAGTAAACTAGTTCCATTATGCAACCTCAAGACCAAGGTTAGCAGAACCTCACATCATTATGGAACATCTAGTAAAACTGGGCCTGCAAACGGCAAGCATCCCAGAGACAGGCTGAGACTAACGCCGATGGGCCAGACCTGCCTGCTGACGGCCTCTGGTACCGCTGGCCTGGGACCCCGCAAACTCTGCTCCAGTCTGCCTCCCAGGACTCGCCCCTCCCCCCGTCTACCCACTGCAGGTAATCTCTAGCAATTTAATTTTGTTTATTGAAAGTGTTATAAATGAAATGATGAAAAATATGGAGAATGCTTACTTGATACCCCTTACATGGGATGAGCTGAGTTTAAATAATGGCCTGTTCAATGTCAGGTTCAAGTGTGGCATTAAATTTAACTTCAAAACCCAGGGAAATAAAATGTTTGAAGATCAAACAGTGATTACTTCTGTCTTTTTTAAAAGCATGTAGGAACGCCATTTTTTTTTTAAAGCTGGCTTTGAGTTTTGTTCTTTACCTTTAGCCAAGATTTTTAAATGTATTTTTCAATCAGAATTTCCCTTGGAAAATCTACCCACTTCATTTAATTACCCGGCAAAATGGTGACTCTACCCGTAACAGTTCTGTTGCTTCTAGAAAGATGCACACATTTTCATTATATGAACAAATATGATTTTTTCATGTACCCCTGGGAAACAAAATGTATAATCTTTTATCTCAAGTAAAGAATTTAGCATACAGACATAATAATAAAACTGTAAAAAAAGAAACCAGTATCTATTTCCAAATGCATTAAAACATTAGGAGAATGGCTGAAATGTTTTCATGCTCATCTAAATGAAAGAATGATAGAAAAAAGCATTAACTAAATGGCTAAAGGTTTACTCTAAATACTAACAGAAACAGAGCCCTTACCTTTTAAAAACCAAAAGTGACTATCAACCGTTTTAATATACTAAGGATTTTAGTGAAAAATGTGTTTTGTGCTGACACGGTCCTCAGCATTTTAGTAGATTCAGAGTGAATGTCACACAAGCCAAAGCAACCAGGAGGGTTGAGTGGAAGATTCCACACTGGCCTGACTGGTTACAGGTCAAAACCATGACATCAACTAGTTCTCAGTGTTTACAGCCAGCCATTCCTTTCGCTGTTTATCCCTTTGAAACTACTAGCAATAGCTATTTGTTTGATAAATTCACCCCAAGGTCCTGTATCAGAAAATGAAAAATGTTAAACCTCACTAAAATCAAACAAGGCACATTAAGCAAAAGCCTCAAATCAAAATAGAAAGATTGCACTTATATTTTTCATATCCATAAAATGCACCAAAACACTTAATTCATTTATCTACAAACTTGTCCAAATCATAGCATAACATTCGTTAAAACGCTGGACAAAGTGCAAAAACTGTCTGAGCCAACTCATGTTAGAAATAACACGCATACTGGTTCTTGCAACGACAGGGGGTCTGCATTGCTGAAACAGTATAGATTTCTATTTCTTTTGGTCCAACGGAACCACCCTCCGGCAGTTTGGTGTCTTCGACCGTTGGACCGTGGCTGCGGCTAACGGGAAACTGTCCGCCCCCACCTGTGACAAGGTCTCTGTCCACGTGCATCTTGTCGGGGTCGTCTTCCACCTCACCACTTGCAAGCGGCATGGACTCATCCGGACTGTGGGCTGCACAGAAAACAGACAAGTTTAGGTTCCTTGCACCTACGCAGAGAACTTTAAGACAGATGTGTCTCACTCCTTGTTGTCAGAGCACTGGATGCTCCCAAACTGTCAAATGGCTTAATAATCTATGGATCACCAGTGACCTTGGCACACTACCAAGAAACTTACTTTCCCACAACAGAGAGTAATTTCTGAAACGTGCAGCTTTGATGAAATCATGGCAATTCAGACACCTACTTGAGATTTACTTGCTCGTGTAAATTCTCATTTAGGCTGGTATTTGGGCAACATAAAGCAGTTATGTAACTCGAAGTTACATAACTAGAAGTATTTCTAAATACTTTTAAAGATTCAGGACACTCTGTTACACACACACCCCCAAATGTTCCTTCAGTTTTCATAAAGAAATGATAATTCTTGAGTAACAAAAAACCATTACAATGATCCTCAAATTAAAAAATCAGTGATTTCATTAATAGAAAATAAAGTAAATCCCAAGATCAAGACAAGCTCGTCTGATACGGGCTGAGAGCAGCTCTGGCCCTGTGCCCCAAGATGTGACACAACTGGAAATACCCAGTAAGCTTCTGGGCTCCAGGACGTCAGGGGCCGAAGCTACGCACACGCCTCAGGGCACACCCATGCTCACATTGTGCAGAACAGCGAGTATGCACACTTGGTGCCCCTTCCTGCGGGGGTCACACACACTGTGCAGAAACACCCCCTGCTGACCGGGGGCCCTACTTCTCAGGAGCAGCCACTGCCACGCTGCGCATGGCTCTCCAGTCTTAAGAATCAGGCATTTTTACAACACTGATCAGAAAGATCACTTGCACATCTTGCCTCTATTCATTTACCGTGAAGACATCCCAACAACTGAATTCAAAAGGATCCTTGAAGCTGAGTAACAACTCCCTGAGTGGCTGGACCACCAACAGCTCACCCACCACCCAGCTCCCCACTGCTGCCTGAGTGGGGCTCCTTTCCCATCATGAACACCGTAATTAACTACCATCCCTATAAACGCACTTTTGCATACACTTCTGCTTCTTCACCAAGATAAACTAGAGTGGTTTCTGGGTCACAGGATATATACAAGTAAGTAAAAACATTCAGTGCTTTTTCTTACAAATAAACATTTAAAAACAAAGACTTGAGCTTTGCAGCTTCAACTACTCCCAGAGGCACATGAATCATTTTCAATATCGGAATGAAGGTTATCAGTTTCAGAGTATCCTCAAACTGCTAAGTTTTAGATGACAGTCTTAACAAGAGAAACACAAATTCTCGATGATTAGTATGCGGAAGAAACCAACAGAATGGTGTGACTTGTGCCGATAAGAAAAAACAGAAATCTGCACAGACATGAGGCCACAGACACCCGAGAAATAGAAGTGCTTTAAAACCAGACGCAACAACTGAGGACCTCAGTGGTTTTCAGAGCTTTTCTTAATCCTCCACAGGCCCCACTGAGGTCAGTAATAGGCTAGGTTCCAGCTTCACTATCAAACAAGGTACTTTCAAGAAATCAGTGGTAGACAGGCCATCTTTTCTTGAAGGAAAAAAAAAACGAGCGGGGGTGGTCGGGGGAGGGAAGTTCAGGTAGCAGCTGACAAAAACCTCCCAACCTCCGATTCTGTCTCCGCAGTGACGCGGGGCCCACGGCTGATAAGCCAGACCAGGCAGTTGACTGGGAAGCAGTGTGGGCTATTGGGCAAAGCCACAGACGGCCTCGAGTGAAAGGTCAGACCTCACTGGGGACACAGCACAGCTTGACGTGGCCATCCTCCCGATGCCTGGCTTTGTTCTGGAACTCAGGGCCAGCGCTCCTCAGGAAAAGGGACATCCAGGTTTCAGCTGCTAACTTCAGATATCTGAAAGCAGGTTTTAAAAAGAAAAGTGGACAGGTACGACACGCGGACCCCCTCCTCCCCCAAAGCAGACAGAACAGCTTCACGAAAGCAGGTAAACTGTCCATTCACGCCCCAAGCCCAGCACCTGGAGTGTCCATTAGTGAACGAAGCCCTTTGTAGCCAGAAAGCGGACAGGCAGAGAGAGCAGGCAATACCATCGAGAACAGGTCATTGAGACTGGCGACGAAACGAAGCAGGACAGGAGGGAAGACCTGCCACTAGGGGGCCAGGAAGAGCTGGTGGCGGACGGAGCCAGAGGACATTCAAAGGAAAAGCGCACATAGAAAGGAGCAAGACCCAGCGCCACTTTAAAGCAGAAGCTGGCCCCTTAACTAGACACCTACGCGGGGCACCAGGTGCTCCTCCCAAGGCTCTCCTTTTGGGTGCGTCTTGCTAATGCAGCTTCTCACCAGCAGAGCAGCATAAAAATGTAACAATGAGACAGACTAAAGGCTTTCAGGTTTTAAGGAAAGAAACTCTACTAAACGTGGGAGGCACGCATGCAAACGTGGACAGTCTAGAGTTACTTTCTCCATAGACATCCTTTGTGAGGCGTTTTCCCCATGAAGGATCTATCTGCCAGGACATGCAACCACTTGCCTGCTGCCCTAGCTGCCTAGAACCCCTGGTAATGCATCTTCTACCCATGTCTCCGTGTCTTTCTTCCCAGCACCTGGAATTAGGAAGGGCTCAGACAGTGCCCCGGGAGCACAGAGGGTGTCACCACTTACCTCTTAAAACTGCATTAAAAGCCAAGACATGAAACCCAGCCCCGCAGCACTGGAAGAACACGGATCTGGACTTGACTCCCCTCTCCCACATCGCTACCACCATCACCAACGCAACTACTGCAACAGCTCATGCTGCATCTGAGGTGTCTTGTAGACACTTCAGAAAAAAAGATTTTCTTCCAAAATGTTTGATTCTATGTTTTAGAAAAGAAGTATTTCCCTATCTTCCTACTCCAGTTAAAAGGAAAAATGACCAAACACTTGTTAAGTGTCCTTATCCTTTGACTTCTACAGCAGTTGTCTGTTGACAGGACTCTGATACATGTCAGACAAAGTATGCTCATGACAGAACATCACCTAGGATCGCCTCAGAATAAATCCGGTTTTCTTCTCTCAGAGGAAGTCAGGACCAGGTGTGACCACTGCCCAAGAAGCCTCCTGTTGTTGACGCTGGGGCTAGGAAAGATGTTCCATTCCGGAAGGTGCCCTGGGGCAGCATGGAAACCTGCCCCTGAATTTTCATATAAACCAGAGAGCTGAATAAAACTAAAGCCAGGTACCAGTGTGAATCTAAAGCTACAAAACCATTCCTGATCAAGGACGTAAGAAAACATCGGGAAAACCTTCCTTAGCTTTCAAAGACAGGGGTCTGCAGCACCACAGCCACTGTACCACCAAGGAAGCTTCCCTCCATGCTGGCTGGGTCAGCTCGGGGAGATGTGCCCGAAATCCTGATGCAGAACGTGTACACAAGCCTGATCGCCAGGCACACTTACAAAGGTACCTAGGGCTTATGAATAACACCTCATCAGGCTTCTTTTAACTTTAAAGGCAGAGAAATCTCTCAGTAGGCAAAACCCAGTCTACCCTGTCCTGTACTTGATGTTAAGCGCTTCAGTTAGCTCACGGGGAGTCATCCTCTAGACACCACCTGATGTGCATGCACTGCCAGACACGCCCCCGTGTGGAGCCCAGCCTGGGGTTGGAGTAGCAACCTCCTGCCTGCTGTGCCTCTTGAAGGGAGTCCTAAAAGCTGAGCCACAGCCAAGGTCACCCCCACCCCTCCGGCCTTCCCACTGATGAAACCCCATCCCCAAGAAAGGAATGGCTTCCCTCCGTTACTAACTGAACTGTCCTCTCCTCCTACACAGCACATTTTACCCAGGTCCCTTTAAAGGAAAGGCCACCAAAACCTGAACAGTACAAAAGGCCGGCAGGAAGGCAGTTCTTCCTACCAGTGGCCTCTCCTGGGGCTCCCACCACAGCCCAAACCCCAGCAGACGGGGGTGGGGGAGTTTAAGAGGGCAGGTGGACAAAGGTGCCAACTACAGAGGACTGCTGCGGAAACACCGAGCAGGGATCTGGGGCTCTGTTACTAGAAGATGGAGGGGAAGGTGCGCGTGACACGGGGGACCCACTCCTGGCTGATGCATGCCGCGGCCACCATGCGTGCGGAAGGCAGACAGGGCTGTTGAGCTCTGCTGAGCTCAAGACTAACCCGAAAAAGACTGGGCTTTTCAATGTAACTCATTCAGGTTATAAATATATAAAACACTATGTCTTTGGAGATTAAAATCATCTTTTTTTAACTGAATACAATTACAAACGTTTGGTCAAATTTTAGAAAGCAAATACAGCCATTTACTGCAAGGTGGAGCACACAAAAGACACACCAAAGGTTAAAGCCTTTTGCATGTGCCAGATGCACGGACCTAAACTAGGAGCTACATCACAAATCTGACTTCTGGAGGAGGAAACGGCAACTCACTCCAGCATTCTTGCCTGGGAAATCTCATGGACAAAGGAGCCTGGTGGGCTAGTCCATGGGGCCGCAGAGGTGGACAGAACTTGGTGACTGAGCATGATCACTCAGCCATCTCAAGTCACATCCATCCTCCTTGCTCCTCGTCTTTGTCAGCCTGGCCATCCATGGACGCGAACAGAAGGTGGAGACTCTGTTTCATCCTCAGCAGTGTGGGCTGAGCAACTTCTATGACTGATTTTAAGCAGTCAACCTGTATTTTTCCTCAACAGTGTTTTTCAATACCTAACATGTTATACATGAGATGTTAAGCTCAGTAACATACTTATTTGATTAAAACAAAAACCATGAAGTCAACTTAACTGAGATTGCTCTGGCACCACCACAGCCTCCTGGGGATGGCAACCGTTCACCCAAATAAAACTAGGTACCTGGGTCAGTCTGTCACTCACTGCCTCTCCCCAGTCAAGGCTCTGGAGCTGCACCCGAAGTACTAAAGATTAAAAACTAGAGGAAGCTTCTCTCATGGGTGGGAGTGGCATTTTTCCCTACCCTGGATCACTGATAATTTGGACAAGTTTCCAAGGAATATACGTGTGAACAATTGTACTCTTACTCCAATAAGCTAGAATGCTAACAGACCTAACACATTTTATTCAATAGCCGCAGATGAAGTCCTGAGGCCCACCTGTCATTCTATCCTGAGCAAATGGTTGGTCAACGTGGAAGGGACAGAAAAAAACCCCAAACCTAGCTATTATGAACTGATATTTCCTTGCATTGTCCTAAATGAACCAAATCTCCCACACCAGGGAAAATATTACCCTGAAACACTTTTCTTCAGTATCAATCTTGGATTTTAACTCACCCTCCTGACCAGGGTGCATGCTGACCCCGGTGTGAACAACTGCAAAGACATCTTAAAGTGCCCATGTCTGCTGGACAACTTGCTTTCAAAGGATAGTTTGTATCTGAGCCACACGAATATCAGTGCCTTAAATTCTTTTACATCATATGGTTTTCAAAGGAAAAACCACTCCAATTACCTTAAAATATTTAAAAACAATTTATTAAGGAAGAGATCCTACTCTCAATGGATTAGAGTAGGTAACTTTCACAATCGTGACACCAAACTTGAGAGTCAATTTCACAGGACACATCCGTCTTTTTAGAGTTGGCTTAGCCAGAAAAATCTCTGGAATTAACAGCTTCTGGGTATTACTCCACACTAAAAACATCAGTACGTGTAATTTATTAAATTCTAGGAATACAGAACAGACTAAATTTATTGATAAGGTCCAAGCTATGTATTTATGTAGCCAAGATACTTCAGGCATGTTTTTAAAAAGGTAAAAAGAGATTTAACGCCCAGCCTTAGGTGTGTGTAATCACCTGTGAACTCAAACTCCAGGTTCCAACCTCATTTTCTTAACTGGCTTCCTTGAGCTGACTGCCAGGAATGAGGCAGTAGGGAAAGTTGTACCTTGAGCTGAACGCGCAGAACATGAATCTCTAACCCAGCTGACCAAGATGAATCCTTGTCTGGAAGAGGAAAATAAAATCCCCTAACACCTGTATAATTCTTCAAACCCAATTTGTGCAGCACCAGGGCCTAGGATGCAAATTCTTAAGTTTCCAGGAACCCTTGGAAAGGCTCTTCCAGACACTTCAATAATGAGATACTGGCCAATTCAACTGAACTTGAAACTTGAAGAGACTAGTTTAAATCTCTTTAGGTACATTTGAATCGTCATAGAATGTTAAGTGGTATCCCTTTTAAAAAGCTGAACAGAATTTAAGATTTATCCTGTATGCTATCCTGTATCCTGACATGGACACATGTGTGATTCCTGCACCAGGGCACAGTGAAACTAACGATACCATTCCAAAATATGAACCAGGCATTAAATAAAACAGGGAATAGTTTTTGAAGTTTAGACATATCTTCATGTTCTGGGTATGGCTTTTACAACATCTTTCTAAAAATTAGGCCCGTAATTTATACAAGTTATGAATTTTAGAAACTATTAAGGTCATATATTCATTTGTATGGAAAAGTTGCATAATCACAACTTTTCACAGTGCCAACATCTTAAATGTTGTGAAGGAGATAATTCACTTTTTATTGACTCTGGGAGAAATGGTTTTGTCTGGATACGTGCCAGTTACACTAAAGAGGCACAGCGCTGGGAGTGTCAGGCTGACACATCAAATTTAAAGGCAAGAGCCACTCAGACTATACTTGAACAGTTGCTTTTTTTTTTAAAAAAGCCAAAGAGCATGATTTTATATTTATCCTTGGCAAATCTTAATCTGAGTACATAATTTCAGTGATTACTTTCACAGTCACCTCTAAACTTCCCTTTCCATGTAAGTTTGCTAAACATTCCTACCAAGCTACTACTGTCTTCTGATTATATATATTAACTTTTTCTCCCAAATGAAAGGGGAACCTCAAAGAGTGACCAGCTGATTCTGTTTATTTACACGTCCTGAAACCATCTAGAGATAAAAAGCTGGAAGGACAGAGAACTGAAACAACTTACCTTGGAGACTTAGCCCCTCAGTGTGGAAGCGGCACGCCAGGCCCTGCTGTGACACACACCACACTGGGTGTGGAGGCCAGCTGAGGCCACGCGGCAGTGCAAGTGCAAACACCTACCTTCCCCGACGTGAAACTGTATTCTACTATTAGACCAACAATTGTTGTAAGTCCAGGAAAATTCACAGGAAAAAAAAATGAGGCACGGGGCAGATTTTTTTAATAGTTATATTTCAAACAGGTACAACAAATGAGAAGACTCTAATTCACGGCAGGTAAACCTGGGTGTGCAGAAAGTTACACACACACATTTACACTTGGGCGGTAACTGCCCTCTCACATCCTCCCCTCTCGTTAAATGGCCAATCTTCCAAGAAGCAACACAGGAAAACCTCCTCCATCACTGCACCAGTCCTTCGGGCACAGTACCTTAGTGAGGGAGTCATCTCCAAGGCGCGCTCAGCAGTGAAAGAGAAAACACGTTAGAGGAGGAGCCAGCTCTGCTCGCCCACCCACAACGCGGTCTCACCTGCGGTTCTAGCTTTCTTCACTCCAAAGGGTTCCGCGTCTTCCAAGCATCTCTTGCGGTTTGTTCCCACACTAACGTGATTGGGAAATACACTCAGATGGCCTCCGTTTAAGGTGCCATTGTGACAGAAACGAGTCAGATGACAATTCTGGAGGTTCAAGAGAAACTGGGTACACTCTTGGAAACCCTGGGTTTGAGCAATGTCTGCTGCCGTCAGGCCACTGGCATTTCTCAGGCTGTATGACACAAAAACACTGGATTACGTCCCGTTAGCAGGTGCATCGGGTCTCTGCTCCTGCGCACTGACTGACTATCTGAAGGTGATATGAAAGAGCATACAGATTTACAGCAAGTCTTCATTAAAGAAGGGGTTGCTCTTCCTATCTCTGTAACTAACTTCTCTCTTACGCACATTTGATTACTAAACAAGATTTGGGAGACAGTAATTTAAAAATCAACATACTAAACTTAAAAAAATAAAAGGCATCTTCCTATTTAACGTCTCAAAATCATGTTTTATGTTAGTCTGAAGAATGAAAATTTATGCTAACTTCAGACTTAACCTGAAACTGAATTCTATATTATCTGCACTTAATAACTCATTCCTTTAGCTCCAATAAAATCATAACAAACAAACATTTACTGAATTGTCCATGGCATTCATAACAATTGACTTCCTAAAAGCAAAGACAAATGGCTTAATGACAAGCCAGAATTTGTGCTGACATGTGACACTGTAAGTGGAAGTTTAGACAGATGCCCTGAAATTGATTTATTGTCAGCCTGGAGATCTGAAAAGCTGAGTTTTTTGAGATTTTGTTATTCTGGCCATAGGAAAACTTGCACGAGTTTAGACTTTGGCATTTGAAAGCATGTGAGTGGATGTCTTCTTCTAATACTGTCCTCGGAGCTCATCCCTGAGGCCAAGTCCTACCACCAAGAATCAACATCACTCTGTGGTTAATCCCACTGACAAGTACAGGACTGATGTCTCTGAACCAGCTAAGATTCAGACTAGCAGGAGGGGTGGCAGAGTATAAATGAAAACTCTGAGTAAGATGGAAAGAACCCGTTGAAATTTTAAGTCTTAATTAGGAAACAATAAAAATCGAGGGAACAAAAGCAACTCCACTATGAAGTTCCCCTGGAAGACAAGAAAATACACTGCTCTGTGAAATGAATCAGTAGCAAATCAGGATGTCAGCTGCAGGCTGATACAGTGAAACTGGAGAAGCCGAGGAAGCACCCACAGCTCACGGCAGACGGCTCAGCTCTAGGCAAACACAGGCCTCGCCTTGTCTCGAAAGAACAATGCACAGCCCTGGACGCCTGTTTCCTAGATTAACACGTTAATGGGGGGAAAAACCATTTCAGAGAGAAAACTACAGAATCAGGGACAAATAAGGATCTTCCATTTTAAAGATAACAATAAGCTCTGTATTCCTAGTTCCAGCCATAATACTCAAGACAGTCCAAATTCAGGAATGAAACATCCACTTTGTCCACTTTTGGACAATCATTAGATATGTTTCCATGTTTAAAAGCACGAAAAAAAGAAATGATTTATACAGTTTGAAGAAAGGAAAAAGCCTGAACTCAATCTGGTCAGATATAAATGAGACAAGACTTGAGAATCCCCCGAACCAATGATATTTTCTTAAAAATGAAAGGCATTGCATGTAGGACTACTGGGAACTAAAACTGACATTTGCTTCGTGGCTATGATTTCTGATAAATATTATTCTGAAATTTCATAGTGTTTTAATTTTGACATAAAAAGAAAGGAAATACCAAAATTTTGGCAGAGTTAATTACATTAGTATCTGCGTATAAAACAATCATATACTTGATTTTTAGTATCAGCATGCTATAGAAATTTAACACTCAAGTAACTAAGACTGGATAATTTTTTTAAAGGGTGTATTTCCTTTTCAGAAGATACCATGAGTGAATGGTCCAAAAAGGTCTACTCTATCAGGAATGTGAACAGAGTAAGTTGCCACAATTAAAAAAAAAAAACTTAACAAAATTTGAAAAGATGAAGACCTAGAATAAGCAGAGATTATAAAATGATTTCTATAGACATAAATAGGAACGTGCTCTCCGAAATCAAATGCAGAAACAAGAAACCACTGCTTAAAACGAGGACACACAGAGTTGTCAGTAGAAATTACCCCTCCAGTGGATGATAAAATAAAGGAGAGCACACAGACTTTTAAACTGGCACTTACACCATAAATGCCAGTTCACCGAAGAAAGCCGAGACGCTCAGGGAGCATCCAACTTTTTAAAGTCACTGAAAACAAAGCTATCCAAATTACATTCAGTTCCTTCACTCCTAAGCAGCCCGAGTCTGAGTTGGAATAGCAAGTTTACTGTTCTTCCAAGGAAATACAAAGAAACGCAACAAGTAAGGCCGGCATCTAGAGACCACGGAGACTGACTGTGTCTGAGGGGGTGCAGCCGAGGGAACACAGGCAGGGTCTCCTGCCACCATGGGGGGTCCAACACTAGCACGTCACTCGGCTTGGCTGGAGCCCACCAAATTTCCAGGTGGGGTGACGCAGTCCCTTCACAACTCCAAAGTACAGTCACCAGAGTCAACTCATGCTATGTGCCCCCATGTGTGGACCAAGAAAGAAAGCAATCATAAGCCAAGCTGAACTTCAACTGACTCCTCAAATAACTCTGAGGGGTTGAAGAGTGATCCAAAAGGGAGTTCCAAACATTTCAGGAGACATACGGACAGACATCAGAACCTGGGACGCATGGTAGCTGCGGAAGAACTACTGGAATCATGCTGTCGGCACTATCTGTGCAGTATTATTAGAAATGGGGACATACAGTATCCTTTCTTCACTTCTGGTGAAACTACGGAAGACTTCAACTATGATCTCTCAGTTACTAAGGACTAAATGCAACGTCCAGTTTAATAGTGCTTGTGTTCCTCTAAAGCAAAAAGATCTGTGAATACCCGACCCCGCAGAGGACAGCAAACCTCCCTTTCCCTCTCCGAGCTCCCAATGCCTTCCTCCCGTGCGCCTTCCCTACGTGCCCACACTCACGCCCCCTTTCTCCACCTAGTTTAACACGCTCCTCTGCTCCGCTCACACTTAAAACCTGCTCTACTGGCCGTGCAATTGTATGGTGCACAAAAAGTGGGTGGGAAGGAACGGACGGGACCACCGATTCAGGGGGCAGGCACTTTTTCTGTAAAGGGCTAGTCAAGCTTTCCAGGCCGGACTCCACGCTCTCGCTGTCGCCTGAAAGCAGCCTGAGATGGGTGAGCTATACAGTGCTGGCTATGTTCTAATAAAACTTTAGCTACAGGCACTGGAATCTGAGTTTCATATATTTTTACATATCGTGAAATTAAATATTATTCTTTTGATTTTCACTCAACCATTTAAAAAATGTAAAAACCACTCTTAGTTTGTGGGCCATATAAAAACAAACAGTGGGCTGGACCAGCTGAGTAACATCTAACCAACAGATGGTATCAGTAACTAGTCTTCTACTGTTTTAAAATTCTGTGCAGCTGATACACAAGGTTAATTTCTGGTGTACAGCAAAGCAACTCAGTTCTATATACACTTTTTTTCATATTCTCTTCCGTTATGTTTTGTCAAAATGGAAGTTATGATACTGTAGCTTCTTGTGCTGTAGTGGGACCTTGTTGTTTATCCATCCTGGATCTAAGAGTTTACACCAGCCAACCCCAAACTCCCAATCCTTGCCTTCCCCACCCCTCTTACCCTAGGCACCGCGTCTGTTCTCTCTGTGAATCTGTTTCTGTTCTGTAGATAAGTTCACCTGTGTCCTATTTTAGATTCCACATACAAGTGATATCATTTATGGTATTTGTCTTTCTCTGACTAGTCCTCTAACCCTTAATAAGAGATGTCTATTGGTTCCTGAAAAATGTCTCTCTGGTAATTTTGCACACTGTTCAATTCAAACAAAATCGAACTTTTTAAAAGGCTGCCAAATCTGTTAACCACAATGTCAAATACCAAGAAAAATATCTAAAGGTAAACTTCAGAAAAATGTAAAAATAAAAGGCTCTGAGAGAGCATGCAGAAGTAATACAATCATTCCTATTTCATTTGAGTGTTTTCAGTTGAAAGTTCAGAGTGTCTCACAACTGAATCAGGCAAAGTGCTTAATGTGAAGAAGTCAAAACTGCCTTTATAGGTCTGAATCCTCAAACCACCTCTTTATACTTCCTAAGTAAAGGGTTTTCAAGTGTACTCCACAGAGGCTGAAAATCATGCTGGTTTTTTGCTAAAGACTAGAATAAATAATAATTAAGTAGGGTAGTTCCCAAGACACTTTAACAAAACAGGCTCAGGTCTTTAAATTCGTTTTTTAATATACACTTTCTTGAGCATGTTTCAATTTTGAAAACAGTTGCCCTGGTTACAATGTATCCTCAATTTATGAAGCCTTCAAACTCTAGTGTTCCAAGTGTAAGCAGATTTTAAACCTAGTGATTTTGCTAAAAATCCCATGGGAGCTGGGCACATGAATGTGACTTAGGATTTACAGGCTCTAGGATAATTTTACATTCCAATGTGGTCTCTCATTCTGTTACAGCACTTTTTAAACAGTCGGGTCTTAACTCTTCAATCCTGAGGTATTCACTACACTGCTGACCATGCCTACCAACCCCAGAGAGACTGCTAAAGACAGTTAGTCTGGACTGCAGCCCGCACACACCAGTCCAAAGGGAAATTCACAGTATCTGGCAGATACTGTGCAAAATTACTCTAAAGAACTGTGCTCTGCATGAAAGCGGGGGTAGTAATGAAAGTGTATACGTTATTTTTAGATTAAACCATTAAACATACACACCAATTTAATGTCTTTGGTTGATTGTACTTGGGCAAACAGACTAAACCTGATCTAAAATTTACCTCTGCCGTTTTCTGAAAGCAGAAAGCCACACATGGGATGTGCTGTGAGGCTGTTCAAATTCTACTTCACCTCTCTGGCCCCCTCTGGTATCCAAATGAAAAGTCCTTGAAAATGGGCAGAGATTTTAAAAAATTAGACATCAGTCAACCTGGGTGTTCAAATCAGGTCTACTCTGTTGAAGTTCTAAAACTGACTTTCTTTAAAAGCTGACACGATCAGATTCAGAGACTAGTAAAATCAATTTGCTACAATTGATTACGAAAGCTAAGACAACTGTCTTGTGTAGACAGACTTTGGTTCCTGTAACTTTCACTGGAAC